TTTTTTTTTTTTTTTTTTTTTTTTTTTTTTTTTTTTTTTTTTTTTTTTTTTTTTCCTTTTTTTTTTTTTTTTTTTTTTTTTTTTTTTTTTTTTTTCTTGGATTTTTTTTTTTTTAATCTTACCTTTATTTCTTTTTTTTATTTTTTTTTAGCAATACTTAATCGATGACCGAATGTATGGATGTGTTGATAGATCTATGGTATCAAATCATTCACACGTTGTTATGAACCCTACAGAAGAAGTGAAACAAGTTCCTTCACCTCCGACCTCGCCTCAACCCGTTCCGCAACCCCCCGCTGAGACGTCAAAAAAACTGGTACACAAGGAAGAGTGTAAACCTGAAAAAACTGAACCAATCGGAAAAAACGAAAAATTTGTCTCAACCGAAAAAGTCGATGAAGGATTACCTATTACGATCAATCCGAAACAGAAAAATCGAATCCTTAAACGAAGAATCGCCCGTGCGATATTCGAGAAACGTTACAACCTTCCTAAACAAAGAAAGGTAATGATACAAAAATCTTTTTTTTTTTTACTTTGCATTATCTTACATATTTTATTTATTTATTTATTTATTTATTTTTTTTATTTATTTTTATTTTTTTAAATTTTTTTTTTTTTAGCCTTACATTCACGAATCTCGTCACGTGCATGCTATGCGCAGACCACGTGGTCCAGGAGGCCGTTTCTTGAACACCAACGATACTACAAACGCAAAACGCCAAAACTTTGACAATTTCAATCATTTTCCACGTGATCTTTCCGAATACTTTCACCAAAATACTCATTTTCTTATTCCGATTGGATCGAATCCCGTATCAGACGTGAATTCTTGGGGCGTAACCACTGAATTAACAAACCTTGATAGTTCCGATACGTGCCGTATGAATGTATATTTTGACGGAAACAACGTCAACGCCCCAGCTTCAGGTGTCATTAGCCCCTTTGTCACCGCTTCACCAACATCTGCAACATCTCCAATTCAGGTCCAAAACGTCCAAAACGTTTATGAGGCAAATCACATTAACAACGAATATAATTTACCTCAACCGCATATGTTGCAATTAAGTTATCAGCCATCGTTCGCTACCAATAACATTGGTTGGAATTTCCACAACTAAAATCGTCGAATCAAAATTTCTTTTTTTTTTTTTTCTTATGTAAATACTAGCAAATCTGATTTTCGAACAACCATTCATACATAACAAATCATCATTTCGTTTTTTTTTTTTCATAGACAAAAACCAAAAAAAAATTGGCATTGTAAGTAAACTTGGCAAATCAAACAATCGGAGTTTTTTTTTTAAATGTAAATTTTTTTTCCTTAAAGAAAAATCATTATAGATTCTAAAAATTTTATAGACTTTTATTCATATACACACAACATACAACATTAAGCTTTAACTATGATAGAATTTTTTTATTTTAAATCCAATCATGTAAATTTTTCCAAAAAAAAAAAATCAAAATCTCTCATCATTTGGTTCCGCGTGTGACGTTTTTTTCTTCTACCTTAATTGTGACCCTTTATCTACCTTTTTTTTTTTCTTCATTTTTTTTTTTTCTTTCGGGTTGGTGTTTTTTTTTCGTTTTTGGGTGCACGCCTGAAATTGGAAATCTTCATTAATTTTTTTCGATTCCCCCTTTGTACATTTAATTTTTTTCATCTATGCATTTCGAAGTTATTATGAAACATGCATCTGTGCTACGTATGCCTTTTTTTTTTTTTAAAAAAAAAAAAAAGTAATATCGATAAAAAAAAAAAAAGTATTAATAAAAGAATAATAATAATAATAAGTAATAATAATAAAAATAATACGTACGTACGTATAGCCATATGAAGTTAATTATTTGATTGTCATAACATAACAGATCCGGCCGACCGACAAGTGAGTCATGGTCTAGGAAAATCACTTAAAATATGAGATTTTCCCAAACCATTACCCCTATAGTTATAATTGACCAAAAAATATTCGGGTCAAAATTTTATTTAGTAAAGTAAAACTTCCGTCAAGTTTTGGCTTCAAAATCGGACGGTTGCTTTTTTTATTCGGGGGTTGCTTCTAATAGATAACAAAAATCTTGGAACAACTGGAAAAATTGTCGATGACCGAATCAATAAATTGCCGAGTCAGGATCAATGAGTTACCGACATCAGAAACTCATCGATTTTTATAACTGTACGTAAAGATCCACCGAAATATTAAAACGTTTAAGTTTGCCCCTGAGCGATCTCTAATACGTATATCGTATATGAATTTTTATAGATTTATAAAAAAAATCTTAAGGTAATTTTAGGATTAGGTCTTGGGAATTTTTTTTAGGGTGTTAACCATTTTTCATTTAATACATCAGACACCAATTACCTACGTAGGTCGTCTACCCCGGGAACAAGTTAGCAAAAATCACAATTAATAAATTTTATACGTATACGTAGTCTAATAATATATCCTAATATATAATATATAAATTATATAAATAGATATATATGTGTAAATATTTTGTCGGCTTTTGCCACTGTGTAGTTGATTTTTAAACTTTACCGACTATTCTGAGTAATCCGGTTTATAAGAAATTACTTAATCTGAAAATGTAATGGTGAAACGGTTACAATAAAAATCTCGTTTTTTTTAGACATCGGTATATATACTTAAAATACCACATTAATAATTCAATTATTGTGTATGTACATTAAATATCAAATTTAATGGTGTAAATGTGTATAATGTATATATGTATATGTATATATTGTATAATAGTAATGATAAATTTTTTTCGCTTTAAATTATAATAAACTACATATCAATAAACACTTAAGGGCAGTTATATACATTAACAAATCTCATTTTAGTAATTGTTCTTCTATAACACTATATTATGCTATCCCCACCCCTAAAATGTGTCATTGCACTAAGATCCACAATAAATTGTTCAATAAAAATAAATGATTACAATTTAAATCTATATATATATATATATTCTATTAAATAAGCAATAATGTTCATCCAATGTATATAATAATGTATATTCAGTTGGAATTTACTTTCTAACTTTGTTTCGCATCACTGGTATCATTCCACCCTTCGTTGGTTTAGTATATTTTCCGTTAACAGCAGGAATATTCGATGTGTTATCGTTAATGCTTGATTGTGTATTACTTGTTGATTCTTCAACATTTATTTTAGTTTTAGCGTCCAGTTTTTCTTCAACCATTTTTACCAACA